CCATAAAAACAATACTGAAATACTTTTTAAAACAACCAGACTTTGAGTCGAGTAAAATGAAAATATATAACAGGATGGCGTTGACTAAATATGATTAAAACTAACAGGGACAACACACAACAGTAAACAAACTGCTGACAAAATAAAAGCATTTAAACATTATCCGTCTTAGTGTGAAGGGCTGGGAAAGGTAGAGAAAATCAAATATCACAATATTTCTGGACCAAATATCTCAATATTGAGATGATATTTTGGGTTGACTATTTGTGGGGGTTTTTTACAAAATATTTACACTATGACATTTTTAATGAATAATCATCTGTAATGTAGACTTAGATGACAAATAATGAATAATATTGAATAAAAACATCAGATAATTACATTACTTTACCATAATGCAGCCTGGGAAAAAAGACCTGTCGCTATATCACGATATCCAAACACTAATCTAGTCCCATATCACAAAATGATTTAACATTATCGATCAGCCATAAATCAGAGTTGCTTGAGTGGCGACAACGACAGGATCTCTCACTGTCTTTCTTCCCAACAGTTTTTATTTGTGGTGTCACACTTGAAGGAGCCGTGCAGCCGGAGAACCCTCGGCGGCAGGCGCAACAGCACTAACTGCTGTAGTCTGGTTTAGTCACCATGGCAACCGCATCCACCCAGCTACTCCCTCCGTCCTTTCTGTCGCGCGCAGACACACAGAGCCCATCATCTAATCTTGCGTCACAGGGGTTCCCAAAGCCGCCGCGAAGCCTCCCGACATCGTCGACGGTTCATCTAACAAGCCCGTTTAACGTGGAAAAATAACCACGGGAAGAAGAACAGCGGCGGATGCGAGAGCAGGAGAAGGACACGCAATAAGGGAGACAGAAGAGACGGATGGGTTGGCGGTGGAGATGTGGTGGAGGCGGAGGAGGGGGGGGGGGTGACAGACAGACGCAGGGCCGCAAAAGGAGACAAAATCAGAGTTGAAAGTGGGGAAGGACTAACAGCGGGTGAATGACGCAGCCGTGTGCTGTGTCTTCTGCATGTGACAGCAGGTGAGGCGAGCAGGTGTTAAATATTAAAGCGACTCTGCAGAGAACTTGCGCAAATGGCCCCCACTGATCTGGGACATCCCAGACCGACACACACACACACACACACACACACACACACACACACACACAGGAGCGAATGTACAGACAGCAATGGTAGCATCCCGCCAAAGCAGAAAGAACACGCATGTTTAATTCACAGCCTTCCACTTCAGTATGTTCTTGTTCTTATGCTGCGCCCCGTGACCCCCCACCCCCGCCCCCCGCCCTCCATCCCCCCCGCGCATAAAGAAGTACGAAAGACAGGACGAACGCGGTTGGCGGGGAAAGAGTAGCGCATATAGGAGGAGGAAGCCCGGCAACAACGGCGCGTATTCCCCGTAGCGCCCCCGCCCCACCCCCCTTTAATGAAAGTACAACATTCCAAAATAACCCCGCTCCTCTCCCGGGGTTTACACGCGGCCTCGCTCCTCGCCGGGTCCTCGCTGCCTAAATGTGCCTCGCAGCACACCGTCCTACTTCCCGCGGATCCACTCCCGACGGCTGCACGCCGCCGTGCGTCACAGACGGCCGCGAGGAGGCGGGACAAATGGATTTTGGACATTTTTCCGGGGCGTTATAAGTTACAAGGAGCAGTACAGAGGAGGTATTAACAGAAACTATATTAATGGCAAAGGTTCATCCCTGGCTAGTAGATCGACGTTTCATTTTAAACCCCTATCAATAAACAAAACCCACTTATGCCTGTGAGTTATTTTTTATAAGCTTGTTGTTTCTTTTGTGTGTTAGTATCCCCCCCCCCCCTCCTCCTCACAGTAAACATCTGTGAAAGCTGTTTATATGGGGTTCAGGGGTCTAATTCACCATGTCAGCAGTTCGCTGTGCAGCAGGTAGCGGATGAGCGGGACTTAGCTGCAGCCGAGGACATAAATGATGACGTACGGTGGGGATGATGAGAGCCTCTACGAGAAGGGGATCCTCTAAAACCCCCCCAAGGCCCAAAGGCTCTCCCTACACAGGGTTCCTACCTGTTACAAATGACTCACACGTTACCTGTTTTTGTACAGCATTGTGAAACCACTGATGTTGGTGGATGAGGGATCCGACGGTTAGGAAGTGGAACTAAATGGATTTACTGAATGTCAGCGGATAGTGCTCGATAACGGTATTTCACACAGTTCTGGTAAAGGTAAAATATGAAAATATTCTAGTCCCTGTGAAAAATAAGTTGGAGCAGATCTTCGAATTCTCCCTTAGAGTAAAACTGAAAATCTTGACGAGTAAAATCTGTCCTTTTCAAAACCCGAGGACTCGTCGCAGCGACTTGCTGCTCTCCACAATCTTATTCATTACAGATTTCAGGGAGGACCGCTGTGGTTTATGTGATAGCGTGGTGCTCCTGCAGTCGGCTATTGATAAAAATGACAAGGGGAGAAAGCCTTTACATGAAATGCCACCAATCATGACAGTTAAGTTTGGATCTTGGCAGTTTCATGCTGCTGTAACACCACGTATTTCTCACTCGCACTGCCCACCTCCACGTACATCCATTATTATAGAGCACTTGCCTGCCTGCCGAAGTTCTTTTTCTGTATCTTCTTGGCACCGTCCTCTTCTTGCTCTCCATCTAAAACCTTGTGTGCAGACGGCTACAGCACGGAGCCAAGATAACCACGGTAACGGGCGACGAGCAGATCATCTTTCCCCTCCCATATCGACTTGATTGCGACATTAACTCAACACACACACGTGTGTGCGTGTGTGTGTGTGTGGGTGGAGAGACAGAGAGCTTTGCGACCTCTCAGATTACCAGGACACCACTGACGGCAGGTGGGCAAAGACGCACAACCAGGCAGCGCAAAGAAAAGACACATTTCTTTCACATAAACGTGTGTATTCTATCTTCTGAAACCATGGAGGGGAGCTGATGACAAGCAGGGAGCGTGTGATGAGATGTGTCGACCTCACAGAGAGCCCCCGTCACCTCCGTAATGGCCTCGTTCGGCTCCGTCAGCGGGGGAAGGTGGGGGCAGCACGCAGAGCGGAGAGTCATTGATCAATCAATAAGGAGATCGGCAGCCACACATTTAGTAATCAATGAATCCCTTCTGTCATTTGTTCTCTGGGTTCATCTTCCTTTAAAACATTTAAATTGTTGAGAGAGTTGAAGTCCACTTTCTCTCCATCAAAGGTCTATGAGGCTTGTGTCTAACTCCTGAAGTTTATTCCCATGTGTCCTCTTCATTTTGAAGCAACTAAGTTCATTGATTAATCCAGACATAATCAACAGATGATGAAAACAACCGTTAGCTGCGGGAACTGCGACGCACAAAGGGAATTATTCAAATGTGGATCCGGGCGATACAGATGAGGATACAAGTCAATATCCTCTCACTCTTTTCCCCCACACATATCCATCACACACATGAGAACCTGAGAGGAAACACCGATGTGCCGCCGGTGCCTTTCCACTGATTTGCTGACTCATCGGGCCTGCGTGGTGGCCTGCCAGCGGGCTGCTGATGCCCTTAATTCCAACCAGGCGGGAGGAGTGTTTTTATTTACAGGACATGCCTCGGGATGGGCCGCGGGGAGGGCGGCTGGTTAGTTGCACCTGGGAGCCGCCGAGAGTGGCCAAGAGTGGCCGAGAGTCTTGTGCTTTTGCCCGTTGAGCGGTTCAATTAGAGCAGTCGGGGGTTAAGTGCCTCGTTAAACGCCGGCGATGGAAGACGGCGAAAAACACAACTTATTTATTTGCCCCTGTCATTATGTGACCAGTGGGAGGTTTAAGCCGGCGACCTTCGCGTTGCAACATCACTCCCAAGCCAACTCTTACTCCCCCCTTCTTTTCTGGTCTTTTATCACACGCACAGACACTCTGCTTCCCCTCATCCAGTAATACTCCAAAAGGCTGCCGCGTTGCTGCAGTTATTGGTTCCTGTGTTTTGGCTGCCGTGCCCTGTGAGACTTAAAAGCCAGAGAACCAGTTGTGTTTTTATCAAAGCTTCTTCCGCCTGCCTGTCAGTCAGCGGGGTCTACGGAGTCAGCGCCAGAGATAGAACTCAACTGAGAGAGAGATGCACATCCCCGACTTTGCACTAAGCGTCACATTCTTTTTAAGTGGAAATCATCTCTCAGTTCGCTCTATTTTTCCCTCGGAGCACTGCGGCTACATGCAGTTCAGGATTGTTTTCGGGGGCACTTTGCATAACGCGGTTTTAGCCCAAGCAGGAAAAAGCATTATTACATATTCAAACAACACTGGAAATGAAAAGGACGCACCAGAGAATGCTGCAGGTTCTACGCAGACTTCTACTTCTACTACTGACCGTATGAATACTGCACTTTTAAATGTGACCTTTAGTGGAGGCTAATTTACACAAAACAGCTTAGAGCGATAGCAGCCATCAATCCAGTGCTTTGGCTGGGTTTCTTCTCTATAATTAAACAGAAAATAACCCCAATGGAGGAGTAGTGATAGCGCAAATAGGCATCCAAAACTTTCTGGTGTGTAATTTTCTAATCTACAACCTGCTGACAACACCCTCCTCGCAGTTTATACATGACGTAAGAACCTTGAAATAGCCCTGTGACATCCCAGAGTATTTCATGTAGGATTCATCACATCATCATTGCACTCCCATTCCCACCAGCTTCATAAAATATACACAATATATCATTTGTGTGATTTATGTGAGTTTTTCATGTTGAGTTTTGCACTTTTCATGCTGTGGCCGTGGCGATTATGTTGAGTTAAAGCTACATTTCAGGTCATGTGACTTTTCAAATACTAAGTCTGTCAACAAAATAAGTGCCGGAGCTAATTGCTAGGGGGAAAAGCTGTAGGTCGAAAATCCTTATGAACATTTAGGATGCTGAGTAAAGGGATTGCCACCCCCTAATCTCATAACACAAACGCTGTATACCCCCCCCTTCAGATTCCAAGTCACTTACCTTGTCAGCCATAATCATAGAGGAGCCTCCGTAGACTCCCAGGACTGGAAGTTGTGTCTGAACGGAGAGGAAGTCGAGGATCTGGGAAATGGCCTCCTGATCGGTGCCGTCGGCAAACACCAGGCCGTGCAGGCGAGTGCGTGTCAGAAGCTCGCACACCTTGGGACGCGGGGAAACAAGCGTGAGCCTCTTACAGAAGGTGTGTGTGTGTGTGTGTGTGTGTGTGTGTGTGTGTGTGCGCGCACGCCCTCCTCTCACCTGCGTGATCACCGACTTCGGGTCCGTCTGGTTGATCCGCAGTATCACCACGGAGACGTCGAGGGCGTCGTCGGGGCGCCGAGCGGGCCGGAGGTCCTGATCGGAAATGTGGCGCGTCTGGCCCATGATCACGCCCACGCTGAGGCCCGGGGGCTTCTGGGACGCCGCGGGCACCATCATCTGGGAGAGTAGGAGCAACGTCCAGCCCACTGCGCCCATCGTACCCTGCGAAGCAGAACACGTCCGATCAATCGCAGAGCTCCCTGTGATAACCGCCATTGGAGGCGTTTGTGCAGTGATGGTATTTTCTCAGGATGTTTAATCCCGCTGTGTGTGTTTCCACAGAGGGGATCAGTGCATGACGCATAAAGATGTGGATGTCAGTTGCATGAACACCACATAACGGTCATTTATCTAAAATCACCTGATTTCCTAATATTTCATGTTCATGCGTGCATATCGCGGTCGTATTCTTCCGTCCTAAAAGACGAGCAAGAACTGCCACTTCTCGCTATCTTTGTCCGCTGAAGAAGAGTTCGAGTCACACCTTGTGAAACGAGACAGAAATCGACTTTCGCCGCGTGTTGTGGACGGAATATATTTCGGAGTCTTGTGTATTCCGAACATGCCGTGAAGAGCGCAGTAGGTGCCGTAAGATGAAGTGGCTGGTATTTATCTTTATTGAGAACTGTGCGACTCGAATATGTGGCCCGAATGTAATTATTAGTGAGAGTGCTCAAGTGCAAAATCAAAGGTAACGTCATGGGCCCGAGTCGGGGTTGGGAGTCTGCCGTCCTCTCGCTGTCCTCCACCATTCAAAAAATAAAAAATCACTTAATTCAGTTTCAAAGAGCGCAAGGTTAAACCTAACTTTATTTTTCTCTAAAGCGCTAATCTGGCTTCATGAGACGCCCCGAATCCCTCTTCCAGTGTCTGCCTTTATTTGAACATAATCTATGCCTGTGGGCAATGTTCAAAGTAAAGTGCCAGCTATTAATGGATAAAATAACCCTGAGGTAAATGTAATCTGATTTACCCAAGTCATGTGAGGGAAAACATTCAACATCGCTAAAGGCACTCAAACGTCTGCATCAATCAATAACGTTTGCCGAAATGAAAAGCAACATCTCTCTTCGACTCTGCATCCCCGCCGAATTCCAGTCTGCCACAGAGGCCTCTGAGCTCCCGTTCCGTACCTCGGCTTCCTCTGCCGTTACCTTTTCTTTCCCCTCTGCGCTGTGTGCGGATCTGAGGGAAGCAGATGAGTGGAGGAAATGCGGTGTGAAAGGCCTCGGGCGGAATGAGGAGCTAATGAAAACCATGATGCGAATGCTACGTTGCATCTCAGCCAATTTCTTACACCACGGCGGTCCGGCAGAGCTGAAAAACGCCCCCGGGAGGAAACGTCACGTCCACAAAGAGCAACCTACCGTCTCCGCGTTTGCCCTCTCCCCCTTTGCCAACTGTGCACACACACACACACAGACACAAATCATTTTCTTTAAATATATTAAAATATTGCTTCTTCTTCTTCTTTCTTTCTTTTTTTTTACTCTCTTTGCCTTATTCTGCCAATCTGTCTTCTGCGGCCCGGGTTAGTGTGTGTGTGTGTCTGATCCTTGTCATCTCACACCCGGTCTAATCAGGCCCGTTAGTCAAGTCAGTACTTTCCCAGCTTGCTCTCTCTCTGCCCCGGTGCCCACAGAGTGGCCCTGCAGCTCCTGCAGCACTTAGCATACGCCGCTAAATCACACACCGCTACGCTCCTGTCCCGGGAAATCAGCGTCAGCCGCCACCGACGGGACAAGATAACGCCGAGCGTCCCCGGATGTTAGCGCGGGAGCTAACGGCACCGCCGGGGGCCCCCAAAAGGTGCGAAAACGTGGGGTCGCCTCTGTTTTTCTGAGGATCGGTGCTTAAAATCACATCCGCTGAGTCTTGTGATAAAAAGTGATCCAAAAGCGATGTTAGCATTCATGCAAATTTTTTCACAGAACCCCCCCACACGCCTGAAAAAATGCAAGATCTTTATAATGCAACATTCAGTGGCATAATTCTCTCGTGACCGGCTGTTCGCTCTTCTAGCGGTAGGAGAGCATCCAAACAACGGGGTCAGCGGCGCAAAGCGCGGGGAGCTTCTGTTTGTGCTCATCTTAACACGGCTCCAAAAAATTGTACAAATTTGCCTGTGAGCAGCAATTTACTCTTGTCCAAAAAAAATGTTTTCATTTCTGCGGCTGCAGTTAAACCTAGATTTGTGAAAAACGAAGCCTCTGTCAAAGCTGGAAACATCACACCCCGTGCTCAAAGGAGAGCGGGCGTTAAGAGGCCCTCAAGCTGCTTCGGGGACAGTGATTCAGAGGACGTCTTTGTGCACAGTGCAACACGTCCCGCGGCGATTTTCCTTGGATATAAGCGCATTTTTTGGTTCAGCAATGTTAGCCCTAACTCCTATTAAATGAAGCTCATGTGGGTGTAATTGTTTAAATCTATCAGTTCACAATTGCATTCCTTCATTCATTGCCAATGAAGCGGCTCTGGGTAGTGTCCCGAGCTGACAACACAAGTTAGGATCGCGGTTGTGTGGGCCTCGTTTCCCCCTGGAAGCATCTTAAAGGGACACGGCGGCGAAAATGTGTCTTTGGAATCGCAAACAGTCAAACTTTGCGGGTTCGAAATGGCCGGTTTGCAGCTTTCTCGTGAGCAAAACAAAGGATAACTAATTCACTTTGGACTAAAACACTTCAAAACACCCACTGAGATCTTCTGCTTCCACTCTCACACGGAACACGTTGCGTTTTCTTCCAAAGACGGTGGCTAAATTCACGTGTATAATTGCATCAACAATTAATTGTTGTATCCACCATCCAACGTTTTTACCTTCATTAGTGACAACCAAGCCCATCTGGAACCGCTGTGTCGTGTACATTCCATCGCATTGCTGCATTCAAGGATCTGCTTTTTCCGCCACTAATGATCTCGGTAATAAAATTGGCAAGTGTTGCGTGCAGTGTGCAAGCTGAACATTGAATTAGACAATTAGATCTTTTCAATGCGGGATTATTTACAAAAACAACAAAACATAAAGCTTGGCAAGCATTAAATGAGCTTGTGGGGACAAAGTGTTTTTTTTGTCTTTGTCTGAGCGTCATGTGACCACATGGTGGTGCCTCGACGATGATGCTGGGGTCGTGTTGATGAAACTGAATAGTTCATTTATATTAGTTTTCTCTGCAACCTTTGACTTTACCATGAATGCTTAAGTAAAATGTATGCCGTTGAACCGTGAGCTCAGCCCAGTGCCAATGCGGATTAATATAATATGTCATATGATAATTCTTTTTGCTGTGCTGTGACACGGCCTCTAATCCAATGCGAAGACTTGCACATTTTCTACCAGCATTTCTAGTCCTAGTGTTCTAAAAGGTTTTTTTCTCATCATAAAATGCTGTTGTTTTTCCCGTTTAGTTTGTTAATCTCCATAAAACCCAGTTCCAAATTTGAGTGTGTGGCCCAGATTTATGTACATATTCTCTCAATCTACATGAAATTAGCGTCTGATTTAATAAAGCAGCAGCTAATTATCAGTAACTGTGACTGCATATAAACAAGATCTCCAAAGGATGCCGTTCAGTGGTTAAATGGGGATACAATGAAGTAATAACTATGGAATAAATCAAGTAAAATGTAAGGATGTGAATTCCCATTAAACAAAATATAATAAGTTTTCAAACCATTTATTTCCCTGATAAAACTATCAGAAATAATAAATTGGGCGGATATTACTACGAGATGACCTTTGGTTTAAAAAAAACAATGCCAAAAAACAAATCTTTATCAATGCAGAGCAAAGCAAGCCATAACATAACAATAACAAGCCGTGTTATTTTGAGCAACTCTTAAGGTTTCAGCTGTTGGATAAAATTTTGCAGTTTGGCTTATTTGGAATTTATTCATTTAAGTGCTTGAGGTGAAATTTGTTCTAACATATCAAATGTGTTGGAAAATGAAATACCAGTGCAACTTATGCAAAGTGTTGAATCCTTGGAATGCATAAGAGGAAGTTTGAGTTCAGGTTGAGGTCAAAAGATCACAACTCTCCGTTCTCTTTTTTTTTTGCAATCTGGTGTTCCTTCAAAACTCAAACACGTGTTGCTTTCTAAGAAGCGCCCACTCTCATTTCTAAATAATTCACTGTAGCTCTCCTACACATGTTTCTGCTGTCATGGTGATTTCTGCAGAATGCAAGATTAGTCATTTTCATCTCTCCCACCACACCTTTAATATACAATTTCAAATGTGCTACTGTACTGCAGAGGCAAGGAGTTTTTCCTTGTGAAAGTAAACCCCAGAATAGTGGGCGAGCCTCAATAAATGTACCAGAATGTGCAGTCAGCCATTTTTTATCACGTCTCCCCATGTTACGTGTGCAATCTTCCTTTAAATGCTAAATGCATTTGCATGAATAAGAAAGGCACAGTTCACTGATCGCACGCAAGCCATGTCTCAGATGACAGGCGCCCTGCGCTTCCAGGCCGGTGCACCTGATAAATAACACGTTTGTATTTGTTGACTTGTTGTCTAGTCGCACTGTTTGGCAGTAGTCCTAAGTACCCAGAGTGCAATGCGGGAGTAATACACCAACGTGCAAATGGTAAATGAATGTTCCCCAGCGACGGAATGTTTTAATAGTTTTTAAAGGTTGAACCTTTGATTTTCTTTAAGGTTGTATTCATTGACGACTGAAAAGGGAGCCAGAGTTTAGGGTACATAGAGATTTAAGGAGGAGAAAATGGGAAAGTTGAGGAGGAAAGGATTGATTTTCCAACTCATAATTTCTCTTTTTAAAAGCGAGCGGTTCATCGCCATGTTTGCTGAGAAAGATATGTAATGTGCAAAAGTTAAAAGAAGAGTGGACACCCACCTTTATTGTTTCTTAGTTTTATTTGGCTGAAATAGCACTGTGAGAAAAGTAGTTTGTCACCAGTCTGCGCTTAGTTATGCCTCAGTTGGGTTAAAAAAGAAATTAAAACACATTGCAGATGGCGGCGTGACGTCTTCAAGCACATATTGGAAATGTTTTTAAAAGGTGTGGAATCCTTGAGAAGAAAAACTAAACCTTGTTGCTTGCTTTTTGTGTGTTTTTCTTCTCCTTAAAAAAAAGAAGAAATGTTGGCAGGAGTTTGACTGGCAGGTCTTGAATCATGTCATCAAAGTTTAACATG